GCAGTGTTATGTCTGTCAGTCTTTTTACTCTTGTCTGTCTTGCATCTGATATTTTCTATGTATTTTTAGTGTGCCCAACTGAGCACCCTTAAGTAGTGCCAAACAGTCGGTGGTTCCTCTTCTGGAGTGCCTACTGCACTCTTAGGGGGCCGCTCGGTTCGGGGTGTCTGTGTTTGCCTGTGGGTGATGACGGATGCTCGTCGGAGTGTGTTCCTGGCTCAGTGGGTGGTGGGAACCAACAGTCGTCGGGGTTCAATCATGATGTGAGTAGGTCATGTGCTGCTTTGCTCCGTGTTGGATGTGTGGACGGCCTTGTCTGCGCTCCACCGCTGCTCTGCTGCCTGTCCCGCTTGCTTCGCATGTGGTTCTTTGCAGGTTGATGTGTTCGCTGTGTGGTGTGGCTATGTTGTGAGTGTTGCCTTGTGCTTCGTTACTCCGCTGCCTTGCTGCCCTTCCGCTCGTCGTGCCTTCCGTGTTTGCTGCCTCCGGGCCTTGTTGGATGTTTGCCTTGTTGCTGGTGCCTTGTGCTTTACTCCACTGTTGCCGAGCTGCTGGTGCGCTCATCGTGTTGTCCCTTGCAGTGTGGTTGCCTTGCTTGTGCTGCCTTGTGCTTCACTACATGGTTGCTATGCTTTTCTTCCGCTTGTTGTGCCGTTCCTTGCTGTCGACTTTGGTGTTGTGCAGCCACGATGCCTCTACTGCGTCGCCTGGTGCTACGCAGGGTTGCTGGCCGCTGCTATGTTCCGCTTGGGGACGGTCTGCCTTCAACAAGGTCATGACCCAAACCATCAAATACGGAGATTCCGCAGATTGTCAAGGTTCAGCCTCCTGATGAGTCGATGCAACTCCGATGAAACAATCTATCATCATCTGCTTTTATTTTTTTCGGTCTTTCGTTTCGGTGGGACTTGTATTTCTTTGGCTTGCCTGCTCAGTGTGTTTGCATGTCGTCTGCCCTCCCGCCGCCTATTGTTCTTGGCATCTTTTGGGAGCTGTGTTTTTTAGGTTTGCCCGTGTGTAGTCTGCCCTCCCACCTCCCCCATGCCCTCCATCCTATGTGGGACTGTAAGAAAGCTGGTCATGGTAAGCCATGGATTTTATGAAGTAGCTTCAGAGGAAGTAAAGTGGCAGCAGAGAGTGTTAGTTTGGACATGACCAGGGCCTGGATTTGCTGTGGGATCTGATTTTTACACACACTTACGCACAAATCTCTCTCTCTCTCTCTCTCTCTCTCTCTCTCTCTCTCTCTCTCTCTC